ACCACCACCACCACCTGTCATCCGCCACCCACCTGGCACCACCACCTACCACCACCACCACCGCCACCACCCACTTGTTATCACCCGCCACCGTCACCCATCCACCCACCACCACCACCACCACCACTCACCGTCATTTGCCACCATTTTCTACCACCGTCTTCTGCCCCCGTCACCCACCACCTGCCACCATTTTCCACCACCGTATTCTGCCACCACCACCCGCCATCATTTTCTACCATCGTCTTCCGTCGCCACCACTCATCACCACCCACCACCCATCACCACTTGCCATTTCTCACTCTTTTTTATATTTTTAAATTTTTTAAAATATTTTGTCTAAACCAAACGCGTTTGTAGTTTATGTTTTTCTAAAAATAAACAAAAATCACTTTATAAATTTTTTGTAAATATAAACTGAAAACGTAAACATTACCAAACAGACCGTAAATGTTAGTTGTTAGTTGTTAGATTAGTACCTATGAGAGAAAATCTTTCCACCATTGACAAAGCACCTAAGTGCTTGCACCCCTTTAATTTAACTCCCTTAAAAAAAATTTAATCTGTAACCTCCTAGGGACTAAATCCTAAGGAAGGTATACTAGTCAACTAGACTAGCATACTTAGGCCTTGTTTGGAAATAGGTTAATTTAGTAATTTTTTGGCTATTTAGCTAAAATATGAGCTAAAAAAAACTAGTATGCTTCGGATAACTTTTTAACTTTTTATGAAAAGATATGTAAAAAGTAAAGAGAAAAGAAAATCTTTGACTTTTTAGTATAAGTTATTAACTTTTTAATTTTTTTAATAACTTTTTAACTTTTTGAATAAACCGCCAATTACCAAACAAATTCTTAGTTATTTTTCCGTTCAAACAAATAAAATAAAATAATTTTTTCTCCCTTACTTAACTATTCAAACAACTAAAATAATTTTTTCGTTCTTATCATTTCCTTCCATATCTCACAAAATCCTTCACGGATTTCACGAGGGAAGTCAAACCTCATCCACCAGGCTTTTGGGTTGTAATTTACAAGTTGAATTGATTAGAAAAGCTTGATTCTGCAGCTGTACTCGTTTTTCAGAAGAACAAGGCGATCGAAATGGCTTCATCGCTATCTGATATCCCCTCCTCCTCAACCACCTCCTGCGAAATCGTGCCCATCGAAGAGGACAAAAACCACAGTTTCTCCTCCAACAATCCGACCCAGATCGCGATGTCTGATTATAACACTAACAACAAAGTAATCAAGAAATCACCCAGCGGTGTAGTTGTGGATCATCCAGAAGCGAAAAGTGAATCCTTAACAGTGAATTTTCTTCGTACTTTCTTATTCGGGCATAATAAAAACTCGAAATCCAAATCAATTCACAACAAACCCACCGCCAACAGCCAAACCAGATCAAGCAACAGCAACAGCAACAGCAACGAACCGAGGTCAAATGACGACGACAACAGAAGCCGCAGTGTGGTTGAGGCGCTTTCGAAATTGATTGGAGCAGATCTGGATTACCTTGACAAGACTTTGAACAGGATGAGAAAGTACGAAGATCAAATCAAAGCTGCATCTGAGAGTTTGAAGAAGCTCAAAGAAGCTGGTGGAAGTGAAGAAAATTTTCGGGAATTGAAGAGGATTGTCATGAAACTGAAGGAGCAGATCTTTTCTATGCGCGAGAATGAGCCTGAAGGGTCCCTGGAGACGCTAAAAAACCAGGACTTTGGGCAGACGTTAGACTCCAAAGAATTTTGGGGACGTTACGGTGAGCTTGACGCAGCGTCCAAGGTCTGTCTGTTATGCTTTTCAGTGTTCCCGGAAAATGCTGAAATAAAGAAGAGGGTGATGATATACTGGTGGATCGGCGAGGGTTTTGTGACGACAGAGCAATCGGCCAATGAATTATTCCACAAGCTTATTGTGAAGGGCTTGATCGAGCCCGTGTGCAAAAACCATAGCGGTGGAGTGGTCATCTGCAAGATGGACCCTCTTGTTCGTTCTCTGGTGATTAATATTGCCCAGACGTTTAATTTTGTCGATGTTGATGATGCTAGTGCCACTCCTCGGGACTTGGCATGCTTAACAGGTAAACGTTTAGCAAAAATTCAGCAATCGGAAAAGCTTGCATTGTTCAATGTTAATGAGGATATTCTTGAATTCAACCCCACATGGTTTTCAAAAATGCAAAATGCCAGTGTTCTTTACTTGGGAAGGTGGCAGACCTCGCCCTCGCATCACATTGAAGTTGAGGACACCACGGCTATGAAGACGAAAAATGCAAATGTTTTGGATGGGTTGGAAAATCTCACACATCTAAGGTTTCTAAGTCTTCAAGGAATCTCCAGAATTACAGAGCTGTCCAAGTCCATTTCAAAGCTAAGGAATCTTACAATCCTTGACATTAGAGCGTGTCACAACCTTGAGGTGATTCCCGATGGAATCGGCTTGCTCAAGAATTTGACACATTTGGACATGTCTGAATGTTACCTGCTAGATCAGATGCCCAAGGCGCTTGCATTGCTCTCCAAACTCCAAGTCCTCAAAGGATTCTTGGTTTCAGAGGGTATAAACTCATGTACTCTTGATGATTTGCAAAAAATTCCCAGGTTGAGAAAGTTGAGCATTTATGCGGTTGTCCATGGATTTCCTTCAGACAGAGATTTGTGTGTTTTAAATCAGTTTAAAGCGCTTACCCAGCTAACAATCGTGTGGGCAAGCCGCTCTGTGCAACCAACAGTAGCTCCAACAAGATCAGTTACCTCTAAGCCAGCAGAGTTGGCAATGCTTTCCTTAGGACTAATAAAATTAGACGTTCGGTGTTTCCCTTGGATGACTACACCTATTTGGCTGAGGGCTTGCAATCTCAAGAACTTAAAGAAACTCTATATCAGAGGAGGTCAACTCTCTGATCTGGGTCAAAAACTTGATGACAAGAAGGCTGAGAAGGACAAGTGGGAAGTTGAGGTATTGTGTTTGAAGTACTTAGATGATTTAGAGATGGGTTGGAGTGATCTGCAGGAATTATTTCCAAAATTAAAATTCTTGGAGATGGTAAATTGTCCGAAACTCATTTGGTTGTTCCCAATCGACAGTAGTCAAGTATCGATGGATTCAGATATTTTATATTTTAGGGACGGAATACATATCTCTATTTCGTATAATGACATCAATTGTTTTTGAGTTTTGATGATGTATTGCAGTCTTATAAAATGAAATAGAGTTTTTCATTCTATTTAGTAAATAGCCCTCCATGAAATAAATAGGATCATAATTCAGGGTGCATGAAGTAAACAATGGGACAAGCAGTAGCAACAAATGGCATCATGAATGTGCTTGGTCTTTTCTCCCCACCACCAATGTAAACAACAATAATTGATTTGGAATACAGTTCTGTTTCTTAATTCTTCATCTTTGTAATTTTTTCATTTTTCATTTTTTTTTTTTTTTGTGTGGCTCTTTGGCTTTCTAGTATTAGCTATATGTGTGTGTGTGTGTTTTGTTGCTTCAAAGCTATGTGATAATCTACGAGTTGATTTGCTTCGAAAGCCATGGTGCCATGCTTGTGTCCAACATTGCACATACAAAGCCGTTCTGTTGTGGCAGCAACCACTACATAGTTCTTCAGAAATGGCAATTTTGCGGAAGAAATTTTCGGAAAGAAACTTTCCACAAAACATTATTGGTGGAAATATTGGAATACACCTTGTTTTTGGCCACAACTCCTTGCCATTAACTGGGCTGAAGAGATGGGTGGATAACCCCTTCAGCCCCTTGTGGGATGCGTATGGTGTGCACCCCACATGTAAACCATTGGATTGTGAAAATTTGATCTTGGCGATTGATTTATTTGTTGAAAAAAGAAAACAGAACAAACCTGTTAACCCCTCTGCCCCTTTTCCCCTCCCACTCTCTCCCACCAGATTCCAAACTCTCTGCCTCTCACTCGTTTCTCATTAAAATAATAAAAATTAAACTTCCGACCAATAAAAAAAATGTCAGAAGTGCACTTAAACTCACCTCATGATACATTTTAATGGTAAACTTTCAACCTATATGTTCACTTAATCTACTTATGTGTCTATATCACCACCACTATCAATTGTTGCCGGCCACCTCTGGCGACATTTCCGTCAACTGCCAATCCGGGCGTAAAAATAATAAAAATTATTCTTCAAAATAATAAATTGTCATTCTCACCAAACAATTTCATTAATCATATCCTTATAACCAAAACAAAACGATCATTGAACCTAATGACTTCTCAACAATTTTTCCATTAATTATTACAATCATTTTGCATGTGAAAGTTAAAAATATTAGGTAATTGTCAACCCATAAAAAAGAAAAATTATGATTGTGTAGGTTATGAATTATAAATTAACACTATAATATAAAATAAATAAATAAAAATTTAAACACAAATGAAAGGCACACAAACTCATCATATAAATGCTTATGACAGCCACACAAACTCATCTTACATATAAATGTCTAATACAAATGTGTATGGTATCTTATCATCATCCCAAAAATGGTCCCTCTTTTGTCTCACATTTAAAATACATATAAAAATTTACTAAAATTCCACATATATGAGATTCAAGTTGAATTGACTAATGGACCAGCCAAGTATTTGAGTTTGTGACAAAATTAAAAGCTTTGAGTTGATCAAGTAATTTCCACCAGCTAGCTCTGACTAGGAAGTGATCCAGCTGTTGTTTGCTCCAAAACCCATGCTTGTGTTGTGTGCTACACTCCACACACAAAGTAGCTTCTTGTGGCAGCAACACCACTACATATAGTCATGCATATAAGTCATATAATTTGTTCAAGTTACAAAAATATTTGAAAACAAATATAAACAACTTTTATTAGTTCTTCAGAAATGGCAATTTTGGGGAAGAATATTTCGGAAAACAGATTTTGAGAGTGCATTCACAAAACATTATCTGCCTTTTTTTAACACTATCTTCTCCCACTGCTACTGATCTGCCTTTTTTTAACACTATCTTCTCCCACTGCTACTGAATAAAAGACAGATCATTTATGGTGTAGATAGGGCATAATGTGTGTGTGTGTGTGTGTGTGTGAGAGAGAGAGAGAGAGAGAGAGAGAGAGAACAAGCATGCATCAAATTCAAAAGGAAATGAAGTAAAAAAAGAACCTGAAGTGAGATATTGTACACACAAAGGTCAGAGTTGTTCAGTATTGCAAGGAATTTATCATCTGCCTTCTAATTTCCTTTCTCAAGTCAATTTCTTCCCAGGAGAATAGGATCTAATATTAGAGATGGCTGCAATTCAGTCCCGACTAGATTGCCAATTTCAGCAATTCCTGAAGATACAGCGCGTGATATGGCGAAGTATGATCACAAAGATGCTGCCTCCAAATGCACTCTCCACTTTATTGCGAGATTACACTGGAAATAATCTCAGCAAAGTAGGGAATACAGAGTCTATGAACTTCTGGCCAATTTGACATTTTCTTGGAAGTCCGCTAGATTTGGGCATCCCCAAACTTTTGGAGTTAGCGGAGGTGGCAATGCACTCCCGATCCTCTTCAATTTGGCCAGTCCCACAGATACAATGTGTTCAAATGTGGCAACTCAGGCTTGGGTGATGCATGTTCAAACACAGCCTCAAATTCATCACAAAACTTAATATGAAGGACTAGAAGGTTTATTGGCAGCTGGGAAGAAGAGAAGACAATCGACAACTTCGGACAACAGTCTAGATACAGATGCTTAAGGTTTTGAAAGGTCTTACTTTGCCAGCTCCCACAGTATATACCCTTCAAATTAACAGAAATTGAAACCCATAAGACCTCTAAACTTTCTAGTTTCACTATTTCTTCTACCTCTTCTTCATGAAAAACACACTCCATTTCTCTGCATCTCTCTATCCAACAGCCTTTCAGTACCTTGAGGTTGGACGCACCCAAATCAGATATCCATCTTTGAAATGCATTATCAACCAAAAAAACAAAATCAGCATCAGAGAGAACTTCGTTGATGCCCTTGGGGGAATGACGGAAGCCACGGATTGAAAATGAACCTTTGCTCTTCAAAATTAGAGAACTGTCTGGTTTGGAAGTAGGTATCTCTGAACATAAAATCATCTCGGTAGAAAGATACAACTCCTTTTCTATCACGCTCCTCGATGGGATGAACAGAGAAGTGGAATTGCTTGAAGATTGTGTTCTGCAACAGTGGATAGTGCCCCAGAAATTGAAGAAATTGGGAACTACTTACAGATACAGGAGCTTTGTTCTTGTCCCCAACTGTTTTAGCTGGCAAACTGGAGATGCCCCATCCATACTGATTTGGCTCCTTTAACTTGTTGCTGCCAGCTCCTTGAGTATTCTTCATGTTCGGCAGATCAAGGAGCTCAAGATGAGTCAATTCTGAGATCCCATTGGGAAGATCTTTAACAGTGCCCTGGAGTAGATGAAGCAATTCAAGTTGCAGAAACTCTTGTAAGCCTGGACAATCTCTAAGCAGAAGCTGCCGGAGGTTGCTAAAGTTCTTTAGCGATGGAAGATGATCAATTGCAGTTCCAGACAGATCCAGGACTCCCAGCTTTGTCAATGCTTCCAAACCGGGCACTGCTTTCAAGCACGGACAATCCCTTAGATAAAGCTGGCGAATGTTTTTGAGGTTTGACATGGATGGTAATTGTTGAAGCAGGGTTTCAGAGAGGTCAAGAATCAGAAGGTGACTCATATTTCCCAACAAATCAATCTCTCGCAAAGAGGTAATGCCACACAAATTTAGCTCCTCAAGTTTTGATAGAGACTTTAGTTGTAGACGGAGTTGCAGGTCGGTACATTTTTTCACTAAGAGGTGGCGAAGGTTGCTAAGATTTGAAAGTGATGGCAAATATTTGATCTTAGTTTCAGAAAGATCAAGTCTCCATAGGCAAGACATCTGGTCAAACATGTCATCGGGTAGTTCTGTCAAAGCAATGCAACCAGAAAGATCAAGCACCTCCAGTTTTTTAAGGGGATTCAAGTCTACCAACTCCTCCAGGTATGCACAAGAGGATAGTAATAGTCGACGAAGGTTCAAATGATTGGAAAGGGATGGCAGTGTTCGGATATGGGTTTTTGAAAGATCAAGTACTTCTAGGACTCCAAGTGTCTCTATGCATAATAGAGATTTTTCTGGAGGGGAATTTTTTGAATTGAGTTGATGAGGATTGCCATGATCAAGTACAGTTCCTGATAGATCAAGAATCTTAAGGCTCACATTATTTTCTAGCGATTTATCATGGAACTCATTAAATTTACTAGCATTTGAAAGATCAAGAACTTGGAGACTTGCTACTGAATTAATGCCACGCAGTCGAACCAACTCTGGGCAGCCACTTAGCAAGAGATGCGTGAGATATTTAAGATTCTTAATCAATGGTATGCTTTTAATCCTCGTTTTGGAAAAATTAAGCATTTGAAGTTTTCCATTTTGCGAAAAAGTTTTGTCTTGGATACTTTCCAAACATGTAGCACCAGAAAGATCTAGCACCGTGAGGTTTTTAAAGTTTCTCAAACTTTTCAGAGTTTTCAAGTGAGAACAGTCTCTTAGGATGAGCCAGCTTAGTTCACCGAGTTCATAAAGAGATGAGGGTAATGACTCAATTTGAAGTGCAGATAGGTTGAGGCTCTGAAGTTGGGGCAGGTGCTTAAAAAACTCATCAGGGATTGTCGTCAAGGAGTTTGGACCAGATATCTCCAGAACAGTTAATTTTTCAAATTTTAGGGTGCTCTCTACCTTGTCAATCTTTTCCATGAAAGGACAGCCTCTGAGCACAAGTATGCAAAGTTTGTGCATCATAGATGAGGAAGGAGAGAATGTCTTCAATGGAGGGTTAAAAAGGGCAAGAACTTGGAGTTCTTGGTTGGACTGAAAGAAATTACGAGGAAATTCCCTGCTGAGAAAATTCCCATCAAGCAGTAAAGTAGAGAATTTCTGACCTTGTTTGCGACTCCGAAGTGTTTTCATCCCACCATCCTTCAGAGTGATTCTCCCAAGGCCCTGCCAATTCCCATACCCAAGCACATTAGCTAATCCCAGACTGGCTGTGCCCCCAAAACCACAACGGTAACAGTCGTCGAAGTTCATTATTGCCCTTTCCATTACAATATCATCCAAATTCGGCGCTAGTCCTTCCATTGTAACACAATCAGCCTCCACTATTTTCAGAATCTGACAATCTATAAGCTCCATCAAAACTTGATGTCCTCTCTCATAAGCCTCTTCCATACAATTGATTTGACCAAGATATCCTTCCATCATCCAATAAGCTATCAATTCATCATAATGAATGCGCCGACAAACACAAAAGAAGTGGCTACCACGGCAAAAGCAGTCAATTAAAACACTGTTTGGCAGCAAATCATACCCACTGCGCAGTAAATGTGTGATGTTGTAGATGTCATTGACAGATGCTTCCTCCAGAGAACATCTCAGCTTCTGCAACCCATTATCTTGTTGAGCAAAATAATTGAATGCTTTTGCCATCAAGACAATTGCAGCAGGAAAATTTTTAGTCAAATTTTCAGTCTTTTCGAATAAAGCTTCGGCTAAAGCTTTAATGCCTGGAACCTCATAAACTCCAGTCCTAACTTGTTTTTGCAATAAGGACAATGACTCGTCCTTTGACAAGGGCTTTACCTCAATCTTTGACCCAATGATCTCCTCAGAATTGATTCGTTTAGTGATTAGAACTTTGTGATTTTGTAGGTTGACATTCAACAGTGTTTCCAATTCAGACATTATCTCTTGTTCGTTCATTTTATTTCCCTCGTCATCCAAAACTAGAAGCAGCTTCTTTCTTGCAACTGTTGCAGCTATTTGATGTTGCAAGTCTCCAGGGTTATCTGATTCCTCATTTTTATCTTCAACTTCTGACTCCCCGGTGGTGGAAAGTAGGGATAACTGATGAGCCATACTGTCACAAAGAGAGGCCCTGTCATGTTGTCTGTTGAGAAATACCCAGAGAGCAATGTCAATTACTCCCTTATTTTTTGCGAGAAGACTCATCTCTCTGGCTGTCCATGTTTTTCCAACTCCAGATTCCCCGAAAAGAACAATCCTTCGGATTTCTTTATCTTTCAGCAGTTTGAATAACTCTCTTTTCCTCTGTGCAACTGTACTCGGAGGCATTGCTGATGTAATAAATCCCACTGCATAATTTTTTATGTTAAAGAATTAATCATAAAATTTCAACACAACAGAGACAAAAAGAATGTAGATTTGGTATTTGCCAGGGTAATGAAAAACCAGAAGAAACAAAACAGTATCATAGCAAGTTGGCAACATCAAATATTGCACGTTCCCCGCTTACTTTGACTACATTTGAAAAAACATACAAGCACTTTGTTCTAGATACCATAATCAGTAATGATGAAAAATAAAAAGATGAAATGCATTTCAAGTGCCTTTAAACTTCACAGAATTGATATGTAAATAGGCAGACATGGAAGTTCAGGTTTTCTTTTGTGTTTGTTTGTTTATGGGTCCAAACTCCCAATACATCTGAAATTTCTTTTCTACGAACTGTAAGACAATAACATGCTTAATAATACTCTGCAAAATATATGTACTAGATATATTTAGGACATCCAAATTATGAAAGATGGACTTTGTTCCATGTTTCACAGCTCATATTATCCAACATCAACAATACATATATAGTATCATCTCTATACATATTATAATCTCCGGTCTAAGAAATTTATTGAAACAACAAAAATGAAAGCGATGAACTTTGCATGGTTTTCAGCTAATTTTATCCAATATCTGCTATGTGCATAAACATTATCATTTATATAATAAATCTATATATGTATGTATGTATGTATTGAATTGATTGCTCCGTAAGAAGACGAGTTTATTGGAACAAACAAAGATTTAAAAAATAAGTGCAGCCACAGCAGAGGAACATCCTTTGAGAAAACCAGCAAATGTCAAGTCCTAATTATGAGCACCACTTATATGGCAGAAAATCAACTATGATCAAAACAACCTCAACCAAAAAGGCCCAATTTAGGAATTAACTTTGCCAGGGCACACAGTCAAATTGCAATCGTCCAATAAACCTCAGATAGCTGCTAAGTCTACACCAAGGACTGCTACGGACATCTTTACATCATGAGCATTCAAACCTTACACCCACACTATTCTCAAAAATCATGCGATTACATTCTATTTCAAGATAATAGAAGAACAAGAAAAAGTTCTTTGAATCCTAACTTCCCCATAGATTGACCTTCCAACTTGGGAGCTAATTTGAACAACAATGTGGTCCCAAATTCCAAAATAATGAACAAGAACACATTTTCTATGCCCCATTTTGCTGATTCATTAACTAATGGGTCACTATACCAAACCTTGCTAACTCTTTCACCAAAGCTAGAAACCATACAACCAGGGCCGCTCCTGAGGCAAGGAGGGCAAGGCCGCCTTGGGCTCTGGAATTCTATCCAAAAAATAGGGACCCCAAATAATTTTAGTTCTTATGTTATGTCTGGTTCATTGCAATGAAGTGGATAAAATAATCATTCCACATAATGTCCATTCTCATGTTTGGTTCACTAAAAAAATTATAAAAAATATATTACAAAAAAAAATCATCTCTTATTATTATGAGAGAATAGCCATTTTATAGAGACAGGCTAAGGAATAACTGTTCCTTTCTATTTAATTTCATTCCAGTGAACCAATCACTACGTTGTAGTATTAGTAGTATAAAAATGAAGTTTTACAGAAAAAATTTAGAAAACAATTGAAGTGGTTAATTATTTAAAAGTAATAGATGGTTGTTTACCAAATGCATTGATAGTTTATAAATAACTATACGAGTTATATTGCCTCTAGATAATAAATTTTAAGTTGAAGTTGATCAATTTTACATTCAATTGCCTTTGTCAAAACTTTTTTGAATAAATTAATAATGTTACCCATCGAGTCCAAAATTTATCTAAAAAATTATGATTTATGTGTATCTTAAGAACTATGATTTATGTCAACTATAAAAGTCATATGGAAATTACTCACAAAATACAATATTATAATTATTATGAAAAACAAATTATAATAGATTCACTCACTAATATAATATTTTCAAATTGGATTTATCACTTAATACTTTAAGTGATTTCTGTGTATGGAATGGTTAAAAAACTAGTAATTTTCGTGTTTATATATGCTAGCAAATTTGTGTAGGTAAATATATATATATATATATATATATTGGGATGACTTTGCATACAACCAACCTTTTCTTGTTGGTGATAGAGAGAGCTTACTAGACTAGACTAGACTAGACTAGACTAATCACATTTTGTTTTGTTTAGAACAGTCACTGAAATATCTTGAGTACATATTATTTAATATCCACTAATTGATGACAAAACATGGAAGTATCTTATAAATTGGTAGATCCATGAACATTTGATCTTATGCACACAAACATAGATGGACCGTACACCTCATGTAAGAGCTATAGAACGCAAAATGTTAGAGAACCTTCTAATTAACAACAAAACTCCAAAAAAAAATGAAAAAATGTTTGAAATCAGTCTCCTTGAATCAACTACAGCCATTATATGCAGAAAGCAAAAGGTAAATAATAATAATTGGGCATGTGAATAGAAGTAAGAACACAAGTAACATAATGATAGCCGAATCAATAAAACAAGCAGCCTGTTTGGAGATAAACATAACAAAGCAGAACGAGAAATGTCTTTAGAAGAAACCAATTAACATTTTAGAAAATTAGTTATGATGGATTACTATTATATTTTTATATTTCAGTGAAGTACTAATAAGGATTGGCCAAAATGGATTTACTAAAATGCAATGACAACCACAATTACTACATCTAGGATTGAAATACACAATTTTCAAAACACTCACTAGTGATGTATTTGGATTGGAACTGTTGTTCAGTGCCTCTTTTAGGCCAAAGTGCACCAGGGTTTGTGATATCATCATTGCAGAATGTGTATGAAACTAGCTAGATTTGTTGGAATTCTCAGAATTTCTATTTATTTATTTTTTTCCTTGAATCATCATAAATGAATTAAAGGGACAGAATTTAGATAGGATATATCATGGGATCGTTAGAATCCAAGAGGATAAGAAAATTATGTGCCAAGTCAGCATATATTCATTTAAATTAAATATAATAATTCAACCAAACAACAGATCCAACAAATAAACAATTGGGGAAAATTCAGATTTACAAAATTTGACATGAGTAAGTTCAACAATTCACAATAAAATAAAAAATAAAGTTCGACACGAGTAAGCTTAATATCAAGGTAAGATTTTCAAGAACATTCAAGAAAGTCTATTGCTTGATCTGATCTTAGTAATAAATTACATATATGATTCTTTTACCCCCATTCAATAAATAGTATTTCACATGGCTCATTGTGTGTTTCTAACTGTTGGAATTCAATTTATTTGTAATATGCAGAATTATAAGGGCTAAGAATGAGTCAATTGAAAGCAATCTTTAAAGATCTGTGTCCTAATTATAGATTCTTGAAGATCTGTCTCCAAAGAACATTCCAAATTATAACTATTATCGAAACATGATTAGCAAGTTTGGGAATTTGAGATGATTGTATTGTTGGATTTGCATTTTTCAAAAGACTTGAGTCTTCTTGAATCTGTAATTAACAGCACTAATAAGTTACAGATACACAACAGTTCAAAGAGCATTTTCAAGCCCAAAGACACAGCCAGAGAGAGAGAGAGAGAGAGTACGCCCAACACAAACCCACCTCCCACTCAACTCACCTACCACACACACTCACCTACTCCCTAATCCTCTCCTATATAATGAGTATCTCACCATCTGTAATTTACAACATCAATCAATCTTGTAGAACATCAATCAATAATAATACATATATTTTTACAAGAGAAGGGAAACCTGTACAAAGCAAGAAGTTATCCTCTTCCAAAGACGCAGCAAGTTGGGATCGCAAATGTAGTTTGAATATATTTCAGCTCAGTGACCTCATTCCTCCGACCGTTATTAAAGTCACATTTATCGAAACAGTAATGGTAGATATAAAATAGGGAGCTCCACTTTGTTTTAAATATATTTTTTTATTTTTTATTTTATTATATAGTTATGTTAATATTTTGGAATTTTAATTTTTCTTTTCGAGAGTTGTATTTTATATGAAAGGGTATTAATATAGCTATATATAATAAGAACAAAAACTAGAAAGTATTTGAAATAAAGTGGAGTGAGAATAATGACTCTCATAAAATATTGGTTAACTTATAAATACATTAACTGATATTTGCTTAAAATATAAATTATTAGAAAGTTACAAATATTCTTTTGTCATAATTTTTTATTTAATAGAATTAATTGAAAAATTAAAATTTCTAACTATTTACTTGAATTATTAATTAAAATAAATTTCTGACATCATTAAAAAATATTAATTGACTTGATAAATTATTCATAAAAGAGCTATTTGTTATGGAAATTGAAAACTTGAAGAAGTAGGATGTAATTTTTAAAATCACAAGAGGCAATTCGTATTTTAAACAAATTTTAGGGGTGTATTTGTAATTTATTCTAAAATATTTTACTGAATAATTACTCATACCTATATAGGAGTGTTTGGTAAAAATTTTAGTGTCTTTAATATTTTTATTACAAAAATGAGTAATGTTAGATATAAAATATTTTACTAAACACTCTGCATGGGTATGAGATTCATACACTCACACTATGTTTGGATCGGTTGATTGGAGAGAAGTAAGAAAAGACATGTATTTTTATTGATTTATATTATCCGTCTGGTAAATAACAGAAATAAAAAATTAAAAAAAATGCATTTATCTTATAATTTTAATTTTGAATTTCTTCAAAAATGAAGAGATTGAAATAGAAAATGAACTAACTAAATATCACTCTCTTCTTCCTAAATTATTAGTTCGATATGAAAAAAAGAAGTTAAAAATAATATTTTTTCATATAGAAATTTTCAAAAAAACAAAAAAAAAATCATGAAATGAAAGATCTCATTGAGTATTTCTAATTTACGAAAAAAGAATTAACAAATTTTGACACAAGATTGAGAAAAATTACAATTTTTTCTTTTCTAATTTACATAATTATGTCTTTTCTTTTATTTCCTAAGT